TCTCTCCCTTCCTCTCTGCCTTTCAAATAAATCCTTTAAAAAAAAAAAAAAAGACAATCCTGGGCTGAAGCCACACACAGATGCCCATTCCATGGAATCTTAGAACTCTGAGTCCAATTTCATTTTCAAATGAGGTGAAAAAATTTTGAAATCCATTCATATGAGGATTCTTCAAAAAGTCTATGAAAAATGCATATTATGAAAAATTATGCATGGATTTCAAAGTTTTTGCACCATATAAACTTATCTTTTCACTCAATTTTCCATGAACTTTTGACGTCTTTTCATACATGTTTCCTCAAATATTTATACATAAACCCACCCATCCTCTAACAGCAGGTCTGTTTAAAATGAAAGTGGGGGCAAGCAGTTACAGTGCTTGGGTTGAGTCACTGCCTGCAATGGAGCATCCTATGTGGTTGCCAGCTCAAGTCCCAGCTGCTCCACTTCTGGTCTAGCTTCCTGTTAATGCACCTGAGAAAGTGGCAGGAGGATGGCCCAAGTGCATGTGTAGCTACACCCACGTGAGAGACCCAAAAGAAACTCCTGGCTCTTGGCTTTGGCAGTTTGGCCTAACCCTGGACATTGTGGCCATTTGGGGAGTGAACCAGCAAATGGACAACCTTTCTGTCTCTGCCTCTCTCTGTAACTTTATCTTTCAAATAAATAAAATAAATATCAAAAACAGTTTAATCCATACATCTGATAAATTTTTTAAATTCATAAACATTTTGAAGATCCATTCACTATATGAATGAGTTTAAAAATTTTTTGAACCAAAATAAACTAAATAAACTTACCATTTAATTCCATTTCCATGACCTTTGTGAATTACCCTGGTATAAAGGGAATGGGATCCAGACTAAACACAAAGTTTATCTGTGTTTCATATACACCTGAAATACATGGCCTGAATGTTACTATTATACAATCTTTTTAATGCACCTGCATTTTGACTGCATCCCACCACATGAGATCAGGTGTAGTATTTTCCACTTGTGACATCAGGTTGATGATCAAAAAATTGAATTTTGGAGCATTTCAGACAGACCAGAAGGCACCACCTGCTGGCTCATGTGGGTTAAAAAAAGAAAGAAAAATCCGCCGGCGCCGCAGCTCACTAGGCTAATCCTCTGCCTTGCGGCGCCGGCACACCGGGTTCTAGTCCCGGTCGGGGTGCCGGATTCTGTCCCGGTTGCCCCTCTTCCAGGCCAGCTCTCTGCTGTGGCCAGGGAAGGCAGTGGAGGATGGCCCAAGTGCTTGGGCCCTGCACCTCATGGGAGACCAGGATAAGTACCTGGCTCCTGCCATCAGATCAGCGCGGTGCACCGGCCGCAGCACGCCGGCCGCGGCCGCCATTGGAGGGTGAACCAACGGAAAAGGAAGACCTTTGTCTCTCTCTCTCACTGTCCACTCTGCCTGTCAAAAAATAAATAAATAAAAAGAAAGAAAAATCTGGATCTGCAAAGACTGGTTTTAACTAAAGGACTCTACTGCCACCTACTGATAGATTCTGAAATTTCTCAAATGTTTCACAGCAAAATGGTATATTTTATTTAATATATGCATTGCAAAGCATCGTGCATGTTTTAAATGTGAGACGCTAGAAACAGAAAATAACACAAAATGGGGAAGGAAGAGGTGAAATCCTGATGAGATGGCAGAGTGCACCCAAAACACAGAGGTGTCTACAAGGGGGTGACTGGCAATGGGCCTGTGTTGTTGGTGGGGACAGTTAGGAAAGCCTTTTTGAGGCAAGGAACCCCAAGCCATCTGGTGAGTTAAATTTAACAAGCATATGTGAAAAGGGAGGGTTAGGAATTAGAGGAGAGACAAAGTGGAGACCTTGTGCCTGCAGCGATTTAGGAAGGCTGAACTGCTAGAGGAGGCATGGGTACCAAGAAAGACAAAGCAGGTTGGGTCATGGAAGGTACCCCATGCAGTACGTGGAGGTTATCCTGGGGAGTCACTGGTGAGTATTAAATAGGGAACATATAGGATTACATTGTGTCTATAAATGTCACTCAGGCAGCAACATAGAGAACAGATCAGAAGAAGGTGCATCAAGATGGGAGATGGGGCTTGGAAACAGGCAGAGGCAAAGTCAGGGTGGGGAGGCACAGCAGCCATCTCACTGCTTGGACAGTTTGATCAAGGGGCGTCTCCTGTGTTAGGATATTGCTGCTGCTACCTGACTTGGAGACAGTCATCCGGCCCAGTGTCTTGGGTCCAGGCAGCAGGAGAAGCTAACTTCTGTGACTTAATAAACAGAGCATAGTCGGGCTATAATAACAAAGACCAAAATCAGCAATGACTAGATCAAGGCTGAAGATGGTGTCTCCTTCATGTAAAAGCTCCAGTGTGTCTGGCAGGTCTTGTCTGTAGAGCCGTTGCTGCTGGCCCACCTCCCTCTGTCTCATTACTCTACAATACTCTAAACATGATCCCCCATCCTAGTCTGAGTTCTAAATCCCACCATCACCTTTCCATTCTAGCTATCAGGGAGAAGGGGAGAAACCTGATGGCACAGTTCTTCCTTTTTAAGAGCACAGCCTGGAAGTTATGACTCTCTTTTCCACTTAGGGGCATTTGCCATTATCCAGAATGTGATGAGGTGCTCGCATCAAACTTCTGGAAAACTAACAAATGCAGTCAGGATTCTGTGTGGCCATGTGGTCCATTAAAATTCTAATGTTACAATCTCGGGCAGAGAGAGAGAGATCTCCATCTGCTCATTCACGCCTCAAATCCTGCAATGACCAGGGCTGGGCCAGGCTGAAACCAGGAGCCAGAAACTCCACCCAGGCCTCCCAGGTGGATGGGAAGGGCCCACGAACTTGGACCATCTTCCACTTGCTCCCTAGGGTGTGCATTAGCATAAAGCTGGAATCAGAAGTAGAATCAGGACTTAAGACTTGAACCCAGGCACTCTGATAGGAAATGCAAGCAACCCAAGCAGCAGCTTAACCTCTACACCAAATGCCTGCCCATGTAAAAATTTTAATTTGCAAATGTTTTCTCTTTGAACTCCTGAGATGGTAACAATGTTGATCTTCATCTTCAAATGGCTCTAAGATGCTCTGATGGTTTATGTATAGGACTTGCCTTCCATCCCACCCCACTGCCCTGACTAAGCAGAACTTTAGTCAGCAGATCATGTGACTCCTAGAACTGTACTCTTCTGATTACTATAAATTTTCCTGGGTAAATAATATTGGCTTTCATCCTGGTGGAAACAGGGTAGAAGGAATGAGATTAAGAGGAAAATAAATTTCATAGGAAGAAGCCGTCATAGCCCTGTGGATAAAGTCTGCATGAAAGTTTCTGTGACTTGTAGGAGCACCAGGGAGGAGAGGCAAGGGTTCTCCAAAAGGTGTGCAGAGTGGAGCACCCCAACGAGTGGGACAGGGCACAGGTCAGTGACAGGATGCATGAAAGACAGTCTGGCTAGCGTGGGGTGCAAGGTCACTCTTGGGGCCAGGGTCTGTGGCCTGCACAGGAAAGAAGCATGGGGATATTTTTACCCTGCATCTCCCCTCCGTCCAAGTAAGCATAAGCTGATGTTCTTGCAAACACTCCTGTTTAGACAGTCTGTCCAGTTGTCCACTCTGGAATGCCTGTGGTCAGGCCAAAGCTGAGGGCTGGGAACGCAACCCAGGTCTCCCAAGTGAGTGGCAGATGCAACTACTTGGTTATCAGTGCTGCCTCCCAGATCTCCCTTAGCAGGAAGCTGGAGTCAAAGAGCCAAAGCTGTGATTTAAACCCACAACTCCAACATGGACTGTGGGAGTTCCATCAGGCATCTTGACTTCTAGGCCAAATGCCTGCCCCCAGTTCATTCTTTACAACGTCAAACACATTGGTTATGCAGATCTCCTACAAAAGGACTTGTCTAGTTCTGGACGGTTACGAAGTCATTGTGCTTTACCTAGGAAGCTCCATACTGAATGTCCAAGTGCCACTCTCTAGAGATCAACTCTAAGTATATAGATACAGTCCAGGAATGCACACAGCTCAGTTGCACAGTCAGCTCATCCAAGAAAGTCACAAAGCAGGTTCCTCCTCCCCTGAACAGAGTCAGGTGCAGGCAGGACAAACAAGAATTGTGCCTTTGGGTCAACTCACCAGCCTTTCTTGTTGGGAGCATTGCCCAAGTATTGCCCGGGGCTAAGGAGGATGAAAAAGTCCAAATATGTGGATCCTTGTCATCCACGTAGGAGGCTCAGATGGAGTTCTGGGCTCCTGGTTTTGGCCTGGCCCAAGGCCTGGCTGTTGTAGGCATTTGAGAGAGAACCATTGGGATGGAAGCTCGCTCTCTCTCTCTCTCTCCCCCCTCCAACCCCTATCATTCTGCCTTTCATATAATTAAATAATTCTTTGTTTTTAATTGCATTACAGAAAACTAACAATGAGGAAGTATCAGATAAGCACATACTACAGGATAGTCTACAAAGCAATTAGTTTATTCTCTTAAGAAATGTCAAAGTTGTGAAAAAAAAAAAAAAAAAAAAAAAACCAAGAAAAAAATGGGGAGATGTTCCAGATTAAGGGAGACTGAAAAGACATAATGGCTAAATAGAACGCATGATCCTGGATTGGATTCTGAAATTATAAAGAACATTATTAGAAGGGTTGGTGAGATTTTCATGGGTCTGTGAATTAGACAGCAGTATTACAGCAATGTTAATTTCCTGATCTTGCTGGCTGCATTCTGGTTACATAAATGTCCTTGTCTTAAGGAAATACACACTAAAGTGGTAAAAGCTAATGAGGTATTATATTTACAGCTACTATTACATCATAAAAGACAACAGCTGTAATACATATAAATATGTAGAAAGAATGAAAAGACATGGAGTAAGATGTTAAAGGTTGGGGAAGCTGGATGAAGATGTATAGAAGTTCTGTGATTCTTGCGACTTTTCTACAAGTTTGAAATTGTCTCAGACTGAAAAATGAAAAAGGATTGCTGTTCTTGAAAACGCGAACTTGTCTGTAATAACTGAAAGGAAACCACTGATTGTCTGAATTGGGGGAGATCAGAGAGAGCAATTAAGATTACAAAAAAGCAAAAGGAAACTTTGGGGGCCCAGGATTTGTTCACTATCTTGATTGTTCAGTGACTTGCCTGGGGCAAACGTAATTCAAAATTTGTTCTATTATACACTTTTTACATCAGTTAACAAGTAAGCAACATGAAGTAATTATTTTTTACAATGCCTGATATTTGCCCAGGGAATCCAACCAATCTCTTTGTCATATGGATACTTTTTGCCAAGCTTTTCCATATTCCTGGAACACTCTTTGCCAGGAACTTTTTCCATCTGACCCACTCCTTCATATTCAAGAAGGCTGCGGGTCTCTGTTTCTTTCATTGACTCTTTTCCACTGCGATTGATTTACCTTTCATTCATCCAGCGATTATTATTATCATACATACAATGGAAGTATGTAATCTTTTCCATTGCTCACTCTGTCGTCACTTCAGTGGTTCATTTTTCTGTACACTAGCGTGAGTAATGAGGTTGAAGTCCTTGGGGAGTAGGGTGTTATGGAGCAGTGCAGCTTCAGGAAAATCAGGGCAGGAGGGAGAACTGTAGATGTGCCAGCAAAGCGGGAGCATCACACAGCTTTACTGTAAGGAGTTACGATACACGGGTGCCTCACTTCACCTCATCAGGTCTGAATAGCCCCATACGTCATAAAAGGGATGGGTGTGGTCAAGTGGCTTAGCAATTCAGACACAAGTTGGGACAACCACATCCCACATCAGAGTACCCAGATGTGAATCCTGGCTCTGCTCCCATTTCCAGCCTCCCGCTAGTGCGCACCCTGGCGGCAGCAGGTGGTGGTTAAAGCAGTCGGTTGCCTGTCTTCCACAGGATGGGCTGCACTAAAATGAGTTTCTGGTTCCCAGCTTGTGCCTTGTCCAGCCCCAGCTGTGCAGGTATTTGGGGAGTAAAGTGGGAGTTGTCTCTCTCTCTCTCTCTCTCTCTCTCTCATATTCAAAATGTTCCCAACTTTTAGACTGTTTGAGTAGTGACCACTAGATGGAACCCATGTTCATACTTGCACACTACAAAAGGAGGTGGTGCCAAAGCATGAAGCCAACAAAGCAGCAGTGGGGAGATTACCCTGTGCTTGATGCAACAAGGCTAGTATGATGACGCTTTAGCAAGCTAATGGCAACTGAAATTAAAGAGCAAATTTATTTTGGTGCCAAAAAATGGAAATCTATGTATAGAGAGGTCTTCAAAAAGTTCATGAAAGGGGTTGGTGTTGTGCCGCAGTGGATTAAGCCATCACTTGTGGTGCTGGCATCTCATATCGAAGTGTGACTTTGAGTCCCAGTTGCTCTGCTTCTGATCCAGCTCCCTGTAAATGCACCTGGGAGAGCAGCAGAAGTTGGCTCAAGTATTTGGGCCTCTACCATCCATCCACAAGGGAGACCAGGATAGAGTTCTTGGCTCTTGGCTTTGGCAGGCCCCAGCCTTGGATATTGGGGACCATTTGGAGAGTGAACTGGTAGATGGAAGATATCTCTCCCTCTCCCCCCGCCCCATCACGCTATAGTTCATGGAAAGAATATCTATTATTTTTAAAAAGTACTTGGATTTCAGAAAAATTTGCACCAAAATGAACTTATCTTTTAATTCCATTTTCCATGAACTTTTTGAGGCAGCCTTATAGGTAAGAAAGGAGAGAAACTGCCTCCCACAGGCAATCATGTTCTTACATTGTTGATCTCTGGGTAGGAAACTAGTGATGAGGAAGTCCGACCAAAGGGAAAGCTGCACACATTTTTTGTTCTCCTCCTTAGCAAATCCCAAGGTTCTTTAACCCAAAATGTGCAAATCTTGTACGATTTTCTGTGTGAATGAAGTGAAACTTGGTTAGCACTCCACCTGCTTTTAGCTAACTACGTTAAAGGGAATACTGTTTTGGCAGAAAGGAAATCCTAGTCAGTCACGTAGATATGGAGAGAAATCCTTGAAACCTGCAGAAATAGTTTTGATTTTGAAAATAAAACTCTTGTAAGAGAGGTCAAATGGGTGAGAATAAAAATGTCAAGCTTTAAGTAGATGGAAAAATTCTTATTTTGTGTATTAAAAGAATTATTTTATTTATTTGAAAGAGCTACAGAGAAAGGGAGAGACCCTCCATTCTGTGGTTCACTCTCCAAATGGTGGCAACATCCAGGGCTGGGCCCTGTGAAAATCAGAAGCCTGGCAGCTGGAACTTGAACCGGCACTCACACAGGATGCTGGCTTCGCAGGTGGAGGCTTAGCCCACTGACACAATGCTGCCGCTATTTTGTGTCCTTTTTGTATGTTTATAAATTAATTCTACCACTTATTAAACACAGAAGCATGACAACCTGTTGAACTGATTATTTAGTAAGTGTTTACAAGACATATGTATAATGAGTGACATACCTTGTGCCCCTGAATAATCTTTTTCTTTTACCACTGAAGTTTCCTGCTGAATATTTTAACTCTTTGTAAACTGACTTCAGCACCCTGCAGGGTATTCCCTCTCCCTGCCAATCCTTACTTGTCAGACACTCTGTCTTTGAGAGACTCACTATATATTTCTAAAATAAATGTAGATACTTAGGGACGACGACGATGATGATGATGAAGACCCACGAGACTCTGGAATATTTTGTATATCTCCATATTATTCATATTCAACAAACAGAGAAAATATTTGGCAGGAATTTTAATTCCTTTATTCCTTATCATATCTTTAAATAATTGTATTAATAATATTTTATAGATAATAAAACAAAATCTTAATGCATTAAGTAACTTGTACTCATAATTCAGTGGCAAAGCAAGAACTCAAAGCCAGATCACTTGATTTCAAGTGCAGTTCTTTGCAGCACATCCTGGAGGGATCATGCGTGATTGACTAAGTCTTCGCATGGAAGGTAGACACACTCACAGGTGAGTCATCATGAAGCTACGGGACAGCTCCCTCCATCTTCCTTAAAGCTGTTCTTTGTCCTCCCCCAATTATGCTTACCATTTCTTTTTAAGATTCATTTATTTGAAAGGCAGAGTGAGAGAGAGAGAAAAAGAGTGAGAGAGAGAGAGAGATAGGTGCCTTCCCTCCACTGGTTCACTCCCCACAGGGCCACATGGGCTGGACTGTGTCAGGCCAAAGCCAGGAGCCAGGAGCTTCATCTGGGTCTCCCACATGGGTGCAGGGGCCCAAGGACTTGGATCATCTTCTGCCCCTGCCCAGCTTCTACTACTTTTTTTTAAATTGATTTATTTATTTGAAAGAGTTACTGCAAAGTGTCTGGCGCGTAACAAATCTTCCCAGGCAGACGAATCAATTAATTCACAGGCTTTTATTGGGGTTCCGCTCCCGGGCGAGGTTCCCCAGTCCCAACAGAGCAACAGAGCAGGGGCCGGGGAGTCGCGCGTCAGAGATTGGGAGAGCTCCTTTTATAGATTCAGGGCATGGGGGTTAAAGGTTGAGGTGGGTCTGACCCCCATTGGTTGACCTTTAGGCACCCGCAGGGACCTTGACAAGGACTTTTCTTCCCCAGAAGTACAGGTAGGGATTTTCCATTCCCGGAAGTATAGGCCTTTCCTCCATGCGGATCCCAAAGCTACCAGTTACAGAAAGAGGGGGAGAGAGAGATCCACCATCCACTGGTTCACTAAAATGGCCATAATGTCTGAGGCTGGACCAAGGCCAAAGCCAAGAGCTGGAAACTCCATCTGTGTCTTCCACATAAGTGGCAGGAGCCCAAACACTTGGACCATCTTCCACTGATTTCCCATGCCATTAGCAGGAGTTGGGTTGGAAGTGGAGTAGCCAGGACACAAACTGGCGCCAACATGGGATGCCAGTGATGCAGGCTATGGCTTTACATACTACACTACAACACAGGCCCCTGTCATTTCTTTTTCACCTGACACAGAAGCATCTCCTAGGGAACTGCACAGTAGAACCATCACTTGCTACCAATAGTGCAATGCTGCATGATTTCCCTGATCCATAACAAGTGAAAGGAAAATCAGATGAAAGCCATGACACAGAGCTGCACTAAGAAAGGCAATACAGTGACTACAGGGCAACCTTCCTTCTCCCCAGCCCAAACCAGAGAAATACAACTTAGGACTTAGGCTCAAGCTCACCACAGTGTCAACAACTTGCTCTTTTTGTTTTAATTGTTTTCAAGTTGTACAAAAATTTACCTGAAAGGCAGAGAGATAGACATACGGACAGAACTCCCATCTGCTGGTTCACTCTCCAAATGCCAGGAGCCAGGATCCTAACCCAGGCTCCCACATGGATGGCAAGGACTCAGTCACTTGAGCCATCACTGCTGCCTTGCAGCACCCATATCAGCATCGGTGGGTTAACCACTATGCCGAATACCAAGCGATAGTGCAAATGAGAGATATGTGAGCTACACGGGGAGAGAGTTTTCTTTCTCACGTTTTTCTTCTTATCTGCAAAGTAAAGAAGGATGTGGATTTACTCACCCTTATCACGATAGTTGGATCTGACCACGCGATTAGGAAGCTGTCTGTTCACATAAGAGAGCAAAGGAGGGAGTCGTCACTGCAGAAAATGATATCTAAAACATTTCCCAAAGCCTTCATGAAGTTCACTCTTTCGCCGTTATGTCTGCAGTTCAGGAAACCAGGCGGTGGTAAGGAAGTGTGACTGATGCTCTCCAGCCTTCCCTAGCACACTCAAGCTGTTGTCCTCCCATAGAAGTCTCTCACCAGGACAGCATGGGTCCCTTCCAGGCAGAAAGAAAGCAAGAACCATGCTCCACATCCAGTGATCTAGACCAGGAGAGAGAGCTGGGCTGTCCTACTTCGTCTCCCTAATGACGTCCCAGACCCATCAGTTCTGTAGACAAGAGCCAAAGCTGGGTTTTTTATCTTGGCCAAAGCTAAACCAAAAGAGAAGTTTTGTTGTGCTATTCACTCTCTCTTATCAGTGTAGCTGGTGACAGCCCAAGGTTCCCTGCCACTTCTCCCAGGGCTCCCATCCAGCATTGTCTTGCACCAGCTCAGTGGGAGGAATTCCTTCCGGACTTCAGCATTCTTTGCCAATTACCCTTTGCCTTCAGAGACCTGGGAAGCTTCAGGCGGCTGCATTGTTGTGGGGACCATTCTCACGCAGATGAAGACTGAATGCATTTACAAGTGAATTGCACAAGTTAATTATCGCCTCCGTTTAAACTTTTTTTAAGTTTTCTCTTAATCATTTAGAGCATCTCTCTCGGGTTGGCCTGGAGATGATGGACACAGACTAGATTTAATTAAAGGATTTTCTTGTGTCACAGCAGAGAAAGACAATCTCACTTCTCTGATGCAGGAGACTTTGACTAAAATGAGAAGCAGCCATTGTTCCCGGGAGTACATCCTCTTGTTCCTCCTCCCAGACAGTACCTAAGTATCCCTTCCCCCACACATGGAAGAAGAGGGAGGGGAGAATTGTACGGGTCCCCTGGGACCCCAGCTGTCCAGCAGAAGGCAGACGGGACCTGCTCCTGGAGAACCATCTCTGTTTGGAGATCAAACAACCATTTGACGTGCAAACGGTTTTGCTAAAAGGCAGTGAGTGATATTTTACAAAGTTGTTCAGACCTGACCTTTCACCTATTCCTGCAAAATATTTGGACTTACTAAGTTAATACAGGGTTTTACTTTCTAATTTCTGTTAAGAAGTTTACTCTTACTCTATGAATAGGAAACACAGTGCGAGGGTACATGATGAAAGTGAATCTTCTCCCACCCCAGGGCCACCTCGCCCCACCTTTCTTAAGTACTCTTGTAAAGAGTTTACTCAGTTGTAGGCTTGCGGGTGTGTTGTGTGTGTAGAGTTAACTGTACATCTTGTGTACATCTTGTGGAAACCTTAAACTGGGTGTCTGTGTTTCCAGGCTGTAAGACAGAGCTAGGAGATACATGTGTGTGTATGTTTATGTAAACACATCTATTTTTTAAAAGATTTATTTGGAATGCAGAGTGATGGAGAGAGGGAGAGACAGAGACATCCTGCATCTGATGGTTCAATCCCCAGATGGCTGCAAACAGCCAGAGCTGGGCCAGGCCAAAGACAGGAGCCAGCAACTTCATCCAGGTCTTTCATGTGGTTACAGGGGCCCCCGGTACTTGAGCCATCTTCTGCTGCCTTCCCAGGCACATTAGCAGGTTATTGAAGCTCCCCAGGACCCAAACCAGTTCTCTGATATAGGATGCCGGCATGGCAAGTAGCAGCTTAGCCTGTTCTACTACATCACCTGTCCCAACACATTTAGATTTATGAAAACACACATATCTATAATTATATAGAGAGATATCTATAATTACATAGATAGACAGAGAGGTAATTAGCCCTCCATACCTAGGGGTTCCATGTCCACCAATTCCATCAACCAAGGAAAAGAAAAATGGTGTCCACATTGAACAGGTACAGGTTTTTTTCTTGTCATTATTCCCTAAATGATATAACTGTTTACACAGTGTTTACATTGTATTACGTGTCATAAGTAATATAGAGAAGACTTAAATATATAGGTAGATAGGATATATGTACACACTGTATCATTTTATACAGGGACTTGAGCATCTGCAGAGTTTGGTATCCTCAGAGGTCCTAGAACCATGGAAGTAGAGGGCCAGCTGTGTAGCTATCTGGTTAAGTAAGAATTCATGCTGATGTCTTTGACTCTAAGCCAGCACCAAAGGCTTCCTTCTAGCCATCTCCCTGTGCTTATCTGTAACTTTCCTCCCCAACAACAGAAGGCCTGCCCCCACTATTCACCATCCATTGATTTGTTTGCCAATTACTACACACTGTATGTGTAAAGCAGCTTCAGAACTGTGAACCTGTATCCTCATGAGAAAAGAATTTACCAATTGGTGCTCATTGTAATGTTCAGTTCCTTTTGTCTTTAGCTTTATAATTACAAGTCAAAGCAATAGTTTCCAAGTGTTCTCCCCACTGCTCTTCAGTGGTGTTATGCCATACAATTAGAGACATTTGTCAAAATCTGCATTCCACTCTAATATACCCCAACATTCCAGTTGATTTTTTAAATTGTATACCATTAATTTCCCTCTTTGTGATATGTGGTCCTATGGATTTTGACAAATACAGAACTATACACCCAGCATCCCATTATCACACAGAACAGTTCCATCACCCCGAAAGTACTCCATGAATCCTCTTTGCATCCACCACTTACAACCACTACCACCCTCCTCCAGCAACTCCTGACACCAGATTTCCATCGCTATAGTGTTGTTCTTTCTGGAATGTTGTATGGATGGACTCATAGAATATGTAGCCTTTGGGGTCTGATTTCTCTCACTTAGCGAAGTGCCTTTAAGATCAACCATCTTGCGTGAATCAATAGTACATTCTTTTTGTAGCTGCACAGTATTCCACTGAACAGATAATATACAATTTGTTTATGCATTCACCTACTGAAGGACATTTTGGTTGCTTCCAGGTTTTAGAGATTATGAATAAAGCTGCTGTAAACATTTACGTGCAGGTTTTTGTGTGAACACAAGCTTTCAGTCCATTTGGATAAATGTCTAGGACTACAACTTCTGGGAAACTGTGTGGGTTTTTGTCCTTGCTGTAGAAAGAGTCTGTGGATGTAATATTGAGAGAATAAACCACCACTGAGGCATAGGAGGAGAGGGCAGGCTTAGCATGTTTACAAAGTCTGGACCTCAAAAAACTCTCTTAAACAGGAAGGAGACAATAAGTTGCCATTTTTGCTTAAGAGTCAAAAAAAGAATCTTGCCATGAGTGTCAGCTCGCTAAAGAGCATCCCGGAACAGAGCCACGCCTTGGATCTTGGCGCCACTCTAGAGAAAACATAGACATTCAGTTGGGATTTGTCCATTGCAGTTCCTTTTATAGGTGTTGCGGCCTGGTTAGTAGAGAAGGAAAGCAGATTTTTTTTTAAAGATTTATTTGTTTATTTGAAAGGCAGAGTGACAGAGACACAGAGAGACCTTTCGACCACTGGTTTACCACTCAGATGGCTGCAAAATTGTCTGGGTGGCAGGAACCCAAGTACTTGTACCTCCCAGGCATGTTAGCTTGGAGCTGGATTGTATGTGGAGACAGGACTTGATCCCAGGCACTCTGATATGGGATGCAGATGTCCCAAGCAGTGGCCTAACTCACTGCACCAAAGGCACCAGCCTCTGTGGTTTCTTTGGAACTATACCCACAGAGTGGAGCAGTTGTGACAGATTCTACGGGGTACTCTCATCACTCCACACTACTATTCAGTGCACTGTAGATCTCAGTGTCACAGCTAAAACTGGACAGTGTTTTGAGGGCTACACATAGTACCAAACCATGACATTTTATTTTATTTTAAATACTGGTGCATACCCATGTCAAAACAAGAAAGAGAAGAAAAAAAGAACACCTTTTAAAAGCTTCCATTTTTCTTTTTCTTTTTAAATGTGCTATTGGGGCTGGCACTTCCTGCAGTGCCCGGATCCCATATGAGTGCCAGTTCAAGTCCCGGCTCCTCCACTTCTGATCCAGCTCCCTGCTATGGCCTGCGAAAGCAAAAGAAGATGGCCCAAGTCCTTGTGCCCCTGAACCCAAATGAGAGACCTAGAAGAAGCTTCTGGATCCTGGCTTTGGATTGGCCCAGCTCCTGCCATTGTGGCCATTTGGGGAATGAATCAGCAGATGGAAGACCTCTCTCCTCTCTCCTCTCTCCTCTCTCTTTCTCTCTCTCTCTCTGCCACTGCCTCTGCCTCTCTGTAACTCTGCCTTTCAAATATATCAATAAATCTTTTTTTAAAATTGTGCTATTCACTTATTTTTATTTATTTGAAAGTCAGAGAGAAAGGCACACAGAGAGCTTCTATCTGCTGAATCACTTTCCAAATGCCTGCTTTCCCAAGGCTGGGCCAGGCTGAATCAAGGATCCAACAATTCAATCCTGGTCTCCCATGTGGGTAGTAGGAATCCCAACTACCTGAGCCCTCACCTCCTCCATCCCAGGGTGCACATCAGCAGGAGCCTTGAATCAGAAATGAAGCCAGGACTCAAACCCCAATATGGGCCCGAGCATCCCATGTAATGTCGTTTTTTGTTGTTGTTGTTTTGTTTTGTCTTGTTTTGTTTATTTTTTTGACAGGCAGAGTGGATAGTGAGAGAGAGAGACAGAGAGAAAGGTCTTCCTTTGCCGTTGGTTCACCCTCCAATGGCCGCCGCGGCTGGCGCACCATGCTGATCCGAAGGCAGGAGCCAGGTACTTCCTCCTGGTCTCCCATGGGGTGCAGGGCCCAAGCACTTGGGCCATCCTCCACTGCACTCCAGGGCCATAGCAGAGAGCTGGCCTGGAAGAGGGGCAACCGGGACAGAATCCAGTGCCCCGACTGGGACTAGAACCCAGTGTGCCGGCACTGCAAGGTGGAGGATTAGCCTATTGAGCCGCGGCGCCGGCCCCATGTAATGTCTTAACCACTGTGTTCAACAAATACCACACTTCTAAGGTTCATGGAGTGAGGATTAACACATTGTTGCTAGGTAGCAAAGAGTATTTAATACAACATTATAGGGCCGGCGCCGCGGCTCACTAGGCTAATCCTCCGCCTAGCGGCGCCGGCACCCCGGGTTCTAGTCCCGGTCGGGGCGCCAGATTCTGTCCCGGTTGCCCCTCTTCCAGGCCAGCCCTCTGCTGTGGCCAGGGAGTGCAGTGGAGGATGGCCCAGGTGCTTGGGCCCTGCACCCCATGGGGAGACCAGGAAAAGCACCTGGCTCCTGGCTCCTGCCATCGGATCGGCGCGGTGCGCCGGCCGCAGCGCGCCGGCCGCGGCGGCCATTGGAGGGTGAACCAACGGCAAAGGAAGACCTTTCTCACCTGTCTCTCTCTCTCACTGTCCACTCTGCCTGTCAAAAAAATAAAAAATAAAAAATAAAAAATAAATACAACATTATAGCCGAGCTGAAAGAATATACCATCCATCAACATTATCATCCTCAGCACTCATCATGGTGTTCCAACTCAGGAAAGCAATGGTCAGGAAAAAATGAGAACATTTAGTATGAAATAACTCATCACAGCAGAGTTCCTTTATAAAATATAACATGAAAATGAGATTAAAAGTCAGTTTCTGAGTTACTCATTTGTTAACCAAACAAGAAGAGCCATTCACCAATGGTGAGTAAATTAAATAGTATGTGCTTGCAGCAATCAAACAAACGTGTCCAAAGAAAAAGCTTCCTTTGGAGTATTAAAGCTTCCTTTGGCGTATTAGCCTTTCAGTGGTTATAGTCGTTGGAGAATTGAGGACACTGGGAGCAATACTGAATCACAGGAACAGGTGTTTGGCCTAGAGGTTAAGATGCCAAGTTGGTATACCAGTATTATGTATTAAGGTA